CCGCGTGCCAAACATTGCCGACCCCTGCCCTACTCTGAGTAGTTACATGTGAATTGGCTTAGAAAATGGGCTGGTTTACATGCTTCCATACTCCAGTAACCTGGCTTCTCACTCGCTAAGTTTTGGGGCTTCTTGTTTGGATTTTTAGTGTATCCATTGACTTCTGTGTCTTGTTAAACAGCAGGGTACAATCAAACTTTTGTTCCTTTACCCTTCCATGGGGGGGGATTAGGAGTATCTTCCTTGCAACATGGGGAATTCCTGTCTTGCATTCATGCCTTAAAGCTTCTTCCCCATGGCCAGAGGACGCTCCTGTTGAGTGATGCAAGATATTTGGTGGTGTATTTAGCCCTGTGTAAGAAATTTGAATTTTATTACGGTCTCACTTCCTGTGCTGGGAGCAGTTGTGTGATACATTGCATCTCTCAATGGTGACTCCTCCAACTCATGATGGAGCATTCAATTGTTTATAATAGTCCCAACCAACCCTTTGCTAGAAGAGTGATCGCTGTGAAGCAGTTAGAGGGTGTTTATGTGGGCGGGGTGGTTCAGCAGGGCAGGAATGGGGGATTCTCAGGATTAAGATGAAAGGGGGATTTGAGGCCATTTTTTGGAGCAGGAGAAGATAATTTGTTCAATTAATCAGACACCTTATTAAGTCAATTTGATGTTGCTTTGATTTTTTTTACCATTTGCAAGCAACCCATACTTGTGCCGTACCATTACTGTCTAGTGTATTGTGTTCTCTTCAATATAGCCAAGTCCATGGAAAGCTAACAGAAGTGAACATAAACCAGGCTCGCTTTCCTCCAGCCGTGACTCTGCCTTTACCAGTCCGGTGTCTGTAACCAAACCAGCGGTACTGGCGAGTGGCTCAGTTCTCACCTCTCCCAAAGAGGTAAGGGGTTGGGTTGGGGATAGAACTGGACCTTTTCCAACTAATGTTGCTTTCTATAATTTAAGTACCATGAGAGCTCTTCTATTCGTATTACACAGCTCTGAACACTTGAAGAGTACTCAATCACTTGTATGGTCTTTGCATGTTGAGCTAAGTTCCCTTGTACATTCATGGGAATGCTCTTGGAAGTCTGTCTGTCTGTCTTGATGTAAAGTGTGCTGCCAGCAGATTTTGGCTAGATCTGCTGTAATTTCATCACCATCATACAAGGTATGGTTGCTTTTACATTTTAAGAGCATCATAGGAACTAAACTGGGCATGCCCAGAAACAATGTCCAAACCATCAGCTGCATTACCAGAGTGCAGACGCCAGCCCTGCTATGTGAGAGCTGTGAACTGAAAGTTAACGCTGAGGGCTTCTCTACACAACGCCTTAGGCCTTGTCTACACTGCCACTTTACAGCACTGCCACTTTCTTACTCAGTCGTATGAAAAAACAGCCCCATGAGTGCTGCAAGTTTCAGCATGGTCAAATGGCAGTGTAGACAGTGCACCAGCACTGGGAGCCACGTTCCCAGCGCTGGTAGCTACTTCCCTCGTGGAGGTGAGGTTTTTTTACAGCTGGTGCCGCGACTACACGGACACATTAAAGCGTGCTGCGGCAGCACTTCAACATTGCTAGCAAAGACATACCCTTAGTACACATGGGTGTGTGTGTGTGTGTAAATTCTAGTGTGTGTTAGTGTCTCACACTAACTAGATCATGTGGACCCTGCTGGTGCACACTAAAAGTTCCCCACATGAATACGTTTCAAAAGAGTTTAAAATGGGGGACTATATTAACACACACTAGGGAACTCTTAGAGCAATGTCATTGGAGGTTTTTAAGAGCAGGTTAGACAATCACCTGGCAGGGTTGGTCTACATAATACATAGTCCTGCCTTGAGTGCAGGGGGCTGGACTAGAAGATCTCTTGAGGTCCCTTCCAGTCATATGATTCTATGATTCAGTGCTAGCAGGGTTTACACAGGCCCGTTAGTGCATGGCACGCTAGTGCGCACCAGAATTTACACCATATAAGACCTGATTTCCATACCACTCTTTAAAATAGGGTGCTAGATTGTCTTGTGTTCTTGCTCTTCCAGCTCACAGCTCTTTACTAGCAATGCATGTGGTGAGCTTTGGGAACAGTTCAAAAGGTTTGGGATGTACAGATGTGTGTACCATTCCTCTTCAGCTATTGTGTATTTGTCAGTGTTGATGGTGGCAGATGTACCCCAGTATTCATCTACAAGGTTGTCTTAATTTATAGATTAAGTGTCTGGAAAATTCTTTGGACTTAAATTTACTAGCATTTCAGCAGTCTGTTCATGATAGCCTTTTCTGCCCTTTATTTGTGTAGGTGATATGACTCTAAAAGGGACTTGCTTTCCAAATAGTTTACATCCAAAATGCTGGGTTTGGGCAAAAAATAGCTAACAGCGGACCCTAATAATGAAGCATTTCCATGAATTTTAAACAATTTTACATTAAAACTTCCCCTGCACTGTTGGGAAGTAAAACACTATGGCTTTGGGTTCATGCGTGGGCCGAGGGATGCGCTGTCCGCCCTTTCCGCAGCCCCCATTGGCCTGGGGCGGTGAACCGCGGCCAGTGGGAGCCATGATCGGCTGAACCTCCGGACGCGGCAGGTAAATAAACTGGCCCGGCTCACCAGAGTGCTTACCCTGGCGAGCCGCGTGCCAGAGGTTGCCGACCCCTGTGTTAGTGTGTAAAACCCAGAAAATTAAACTGGTCTGTTTGTGTCCAAACTAAGTAAAGTACCAAAGGGTAAACAATATAAATCATGGAAAAATTAGACAAGATTTTAAGAAATGACTAGTGATAGTGTCTCCATTTTTGGGTACTCTGCTTGATACGTAAAAGGGATCTGATCTTAGAGTACCACATTCCCATCCTATGAAAATCTGCTCTCTTTAAGGAGTCAATTGGGTACCAAAAATTGACACCCCCACAATTGCTAGTCACTGCTTGGCCATGATTTTCTGTATCTTTAAATTTTCAGTTTAAATAATCTGGAATGGTGGAAGAAGTTAAACAAGTCGTATCTTGACACTGTTCTTTAGTTTTAATAAACAATGGTGATGTATTTACTCATCCAGAGATGAATGCCCCCCTGCATATTCGGCAGAAATGTTGCTATTACAAAACTGAGAATCCTTCTTGTGTGAGGTTGCTCTCTCTCTTAACCTTTTGTTTTGAGATCAGAAGTATTCCTGGGAAGGTTTTGTCATCTTTGTGGATATTAAAGTTTGTATAGTACTTTTTTTTTTTTTACTCT